CTAAAAAAAGCCTAAACTCGAAACTTTGATTTTATCGCACAGATAGGACCCTATACGGTAACTACAATAAATAGTTGATATCACAGTCAAACATCAACTTGGGCATAAATCCTTTTAGGCTTTTTTTAGCCTATATATCCCCTACTTGTGGACAAAATTTCAGCTCAAAAGCTTTTTGACACCTCGATCGTTCCCTTGTCAGTTGCACAAATAATGATGTGTCTTTTATCAATTATAGTTCTTTTTCATCAACTGCCATATCATATCACTTCAAAATATTACTCCAACTTATATGTTATGTGGTGAATGATAATTTATTAAGAAATGTGAACGATTAAATAGTTTGATTAAATGAAAAATTTATAGTTGAGTTCAAAAAAGAAAATGTCATTCTGTCTATATCGATTAATAAAGCTCAGCACTATTGATAGGAACGCCGTTGGTTCCACCAGTAACTAATACTTTTCCATTTGCTAATATGGATATTGTGTGATATTGTCGTGTGGCATTCATGCTTCCTGTGGTTGTCCAAGTGCCTGTTGATGTATTGTATAATTCAGCAGTATTGAGAAAAGCACCATTGTATCCACCAGCAACTAACACAAATCCATTTAGTAATGTTGATGCTGTATGATAACCTCGTGCGACACTCATGCTGCCTGTAATTGTCCAAGTGCCTGTTGATGGATTGTACAACTCAGCACTATTGAGATAACCACCGCTGTTCAATCCACTAGTGACTAATACGGATCCATTTGCTAATGTGGATGCTGTGTGATAACCTCGTGCGGTACTCATGCTGCCTGTGGTCGACCAAGTGCCTGTTGATGGATTATACAATTCGGCACTATTGACATAAACACCAGTACTGCTTGATCCGCCAGTAACTAATATTTTTCCATTTGCTAATATGGATGCTGTGTGAACTTCTCGTGCGACATTCATGCTTCCTGTGGTTGTCCAAGTAGCTGTTAATGGATTGTACAACACAGCACTATTGAGATAACCACCGTTGAATCCACCAACAACTAATACTGACCCATTTGCTAGTGTGGATGCTGTGTGAGAACATCGTGTGACACTCATGCTTCCTGTAGTTGTCCAAGCGCCTGTGGATGGATTGTATAATTCAGCACTACTGATAACACCAGCACTGTTAGCTCCACCAGAAACTAATACTTTTCCATTTGCTAATGTGGATGCTGTGTGAAAATATCGTGCGACACTCATGCTGCCCGTGGTTGACCAAGTGCCTGTTGATGGATTATACAATTCAGCACTGTTGAGATTAGCAGTACCGTTGGATCCACCAGTAACTAACACTGATCCATTTGCTAATGTGGCTACTGTGTGATATTGTCGTGCCACATGCATGCTTCCTGTAATTGTCCATCCTAAATAACAGAAAAATGAAGATAAAAAAATCTATTCTTGGAAAAATATGAATTCAGTCATATACATAAGTTGTTTATGTACTGTTTGCAATCTCAATGGTTTTGAGACGTTGATAACCTTCTTTGCTCTTACGAATAGGACCAGATACATGTCTATATTTTAAACCAATTCAAAGAACAAGGATAATAAAAGCTCTTAAGTTTTAAAAAAAACTGAGTAGAAGACATGTTATTTTTTAGCGGTTTGACATGTATGTAAGTGGACTGACGGCTATACTTCTTTATTTATTTTATTGAGAAAGTTGATATGCGTTTTCAAATTTAAGAGAAAAAAGGAGTAGTACTGGTTTTGCTAAATATCTTAACTTCAATTCTATGTTTTCTGCACGAAGATTATGTGAATAAATAGTCATCTTTTGAAAACATATGCTATGTCTTGATACAAAAGTTTCTTTAATAGATTTCAACCTCAAGTGGAAGAGAAAGAACAACTGTTGATGGAATTTGTTCCTGATTAATTTGTAAATCATGATCTAGCTGTCATTTTTACTTCCAAACAAATAGTTCAGTCACATACAGTGGGTGTGGATTCATCTTGCCTTTAGCAACACCCACATGCCTTTATGTGAGTAATAAAATGAAGCAGAGCATTCCTTTAAATCAATAACGTGTATCACTCATGCAAGGTTGAGTGAATTGTTATTTGAGATATTCATCGTTGAAACAACTACAAAACATCTAGTATATTACTAACCTGGTACTGCTGCTGTTTTTGATGATGATGTTGTTGATGATAACGATGTTGTTGGCAATGACGATGATGTTGATGTTGATGTGATCTGATCTATAATAGAAAAATGAGATTAAAAAAGAGATACGATAATTGGGTAAGGCTTCCCCCAAAATTCTGCATGTTTCGTTCTACCAATAGAGTATCTGATTATGAATGCATTATGATAAACTTTACATAACTTCAAATATTTTTATGAACTTTACGTTTTTATATGAGAACACATTGAATACTTCTTATAGTATAATTTCTATGGCGAAAATATGTGCCATTCAATAGCAAAACTATAATATTTTTGCAGTATTTACAATATACTTACTCGGTGTTATGAATATTGCTGATTGATTCATGAATATTAAAGAAGAATTCATATTAAATGCAATTAAAATCGAACTGTCATTTGTAGAAAATAATTGACAAGTTTGATTTATTGAAAAATAATTTAATGTTGATATTGCTCCATTTGAATTTATCATTTCACAAATACACTGACTTTGCGTTATATTCCATAATGATTTATATATATTACCGATTAATATATTATTATCTCTTTTACCGATAAGAATACAATCACCAGTAGAAAATATCAGTAAAACAAAAAATATCCAAAACATCTTTTGTGCGTTGATGTTTTAGAATTGTTTTAGAAATGTTGTAGTAACTAGCATTACTGTTTCTCTTTTATTTTATTTTTTTCAATTCTCTCGTTTAATATTTAATCACTAGAAAGAAAAGTGCTGTAGCTTGTTTGTCAGGTTCTTTGTAAAAAAACAACTACAGTCATGACTCATGACTGTCCTACTTCCAAAGCGAATAGAACAGCAACAAGGACAAATAATTTGGGTACATAAGAAGAAAATATTACTTTAGTTTCTTTAACCATTTATGGAATTAAAATCGGCACCATCGAATAAAGAAAAGAAAAAAGGAAGTTTTTTACTGTATATGTAATTACTTTTTAAAATCAAGTTATTTTCAGAATACCCATTCAATATTATAAAAGAAAAAAAGGAAATAAGAAATTCTGATAATTAACGAGTTGCTTTATCTAAACGTTCAGTCATCACATGTGTTCCTGCAATAGAATGTTGTAGAAAATGGAATGTTCTTTTCTCACTATCTCACATGTAATAGTCAGCGACGTTGCCATCAACAATAATTACATAAATTTGATCGAATATCAAACTTTTGGCTTTGTTCAATTTTGTCAATCATATTAAATATTATTTTGAATTCATTTGAAGATATAGATTTGAGTGATATATCATTAAGAAAAATCTCGAATTTAAAACGATGGCAATTATTATCTTAATCACGATTAATTTGATCGTAAAATCGATTTCTACTTTATTATACTATTCAAGAAGATAGTGATAGGTGATCTTTTTTAAAAAGAATTGATTTACAAATTAGAAAAAAGGATAAGTAGAAAAAGAAAATGCCGTGTAGAGTTTACAGATTACGGTTAGTCTTCGATAGTAACCTATTCGAGTGTTCAATTATCATCAATAGCTGGGTGTGGATGTCTTTATCGATCTAGACCCACATCGACACTCTCACTCACACCCACCCACCCGTACCTCATCCTCAAGATAGACCAAGATAGAATTCAAATTTGATAGGATATACGAATAGAATTTCATATATATATATATATTTATTTGTGTATAAAAGTATTGATTCTATCCCTCAATTACTTTCATTTATATGTATATATACAGGTATTTTATTCATTTATATGGATGAGTTTATGAATGGTGTGAACTATTCGTTAATACTGCAACAGGAAAAATAATTCATTTGATTGTTAGAATAAACTTTTTTTCCTTCTATTCTTCTACGTTTCTGTTGAATATATTTCTTTCTTGTCTAGCACAACGAAACTCTACTTGTTCAGATATAATGATGTAACCGTGAAGATCTTTCCTACAATATATATCTTTTCAGTATATATTGTTTACCTTATCGGTGAGCGTTACTGCTCAGATTGTGCTCTCAATAAGAACAGACTTTCAATGGAGACACATTTTCTTTTTCATCAGTTTTCTTTTAGTTTCAGAAAAAAACAGAAAGAAATTATAATTTCTGTTTCATGTCTTCGAGCCTTTTCCTATATATTTGACGATAAGGATGATTTGATGGTAATGAATGTTGTCCAATTTGTACAGCACGCTCGTAAAATGAATGAGCTTTTAGATAGTTGCCCATATTCTCATACAATAAACCCATATTGTTATAGGAAATAGCTATATCGGAATGATTGAAAGGAAGTGCCTGTTGTTGAATTGCAAGGGCTTTTTCATAATTAAGAAGTGCTTTTGAATAATCACCCATGCAGTAATACACATTACCGATACTACCACAGGACTTAGCCGAATCAGGATGATTGGAAGGAAGTGACTGTTGCTGAATTCTAAGGGCCTTTTCATAATTAGAAAGTGCTTTTGAATAATCAACCATGCTGTAATACACATTACCGATGCTGATATAAGACTTAGCCGAATCGGGGTGATTGGAGGGAAGTGATTGTTGTCGAATTGTAAGGGCTCTTTTATGAGATGAAAGTGCTTTAGGATAATTACCCATGCTATCATACACACTACCGATGTTGTTATAGGACATTGCCAAATCAGGATGATCGGAAGAAAGTAGTTGTTGTTGAATTTCAAGGGCTTTTTCATGAGATGAAAGTGCTTTTGGATAATCACTCATGATTTTATACATAATACCAATATTGTTATAGGACTTAGCCAAATCAGGATGATTAGTAGGAAATGATTGCTGTTCGATTGCAAGGGCTTTTTTATGAGATGAAAGTGCTTTTGGATAATCACCCATGTTGTAATACAAATTACCGATATTGTTGTAGGAAGAACTCAAATCAGGATGATTGAAAGGAAGTGATTGTTGTCGTATCGTAAGAGCTTTTTCATAATTAGAAAGTGCTTTAGGATAATCGCCCATACTATCATACACACTACCGATGTTATTGTAGGACATAGCCAAATCAGGATGATTGGGAGGAAGTGACTGCTGTCCAATTGCAAGATCTTTTTCATAGTAAGAAAGTGCTTTTGGATAATCACCCATACTGTAATACATATTACCGATATTGTTATAGGAAGAACCCAAATCAGGATGGTTGAAAGGAAGTGATTGTTGTCGTATCGTAAGAGCTTTTTCATAATAAGAAAGTGCTTTTGAATTATTACCTATGCTGAAACACACTCCACCAATTTTGTTGTAGGAATCTCCCAAATCAGGATGATCGGAAGGAAGTAGTTGTTGTCGAATTATAAGAGCTTTTTCATGAGATAAAAGTGCTTCTTGGTATTCTCCTTGATTACATTTGATCCAACCTAGTTGATAATAAATTGGTGCCTTGTCACTCTCATTTGTTGTTTGATGAAGTAAAACTTGATAAATTTCTTGAGCTTTGGTAAATTGACCCATTTTCATTAGCAATAATCCTAACCTATACCATCCTTTAGAATCAGGAAAGGTTTCTTGTCGTATACGATCAGTAAGAGTACGAAGATCTTGGTCATTATCAGTGGTCAATATTAGATTCACTTGATAGAGATGATTATTTTCATCCATTGGTTTAATATCTCCAATGCGAAAAATAGTATGCATAGAAAAGAGAACTTCATCTTCTGTATGAAAATAACTAACACCACCAACAGAAGCAAATGGAGTTGTTGAATGAGTCGGATTAATTAACATAACAAATAAAATTCCAACAAGATCAGGACTTGTACCAGCTTGTGGTGCGAAACAGAGAGAAACATCACGATTTCTACTAGTTGATAAAAAGTTATTAAATGAAAGAAGTCCACCTTTAGTTTTCGTCATTTCGATGAAATCTTTTTTTGAAAGACATTGCCCACGATAAAGTGTAAACGTTGTACCAGATTGTTGATCATCAAATTGTTCCGAATGTAGTCGTTGAATATCACGATGTAGATCATTAATAAAGAAACCCATTCGAACAATAATATCAACATCCATTGATCTTAATGCTTGATTGAGCATCGAATATAAAAAATATTGATAAGTATACCACCAAATGGATGTTTGATCATGATAGTCATGTTCCAGTTTTTCAATATTTTGTAAATCATACTCATTTTCGACAAATGCTTTACGACAATAAGTAATAAATTCTTTGATATGTTCAGCTTCGAAGTCGATAGTTAATAGGATCTCTTTCAAGATTTGAGTATACATGAATGATGGATCTAATTGATCCAATTTCTTGTTTGATGCCACAAAGCTGATTGAGATGGCATTTTGCTCACATTGATGAGCAGCTAGTTTGAGAGCGCCACAAATTGATGTTATCTCTGTGAAGATTCCTTTTATTTTAGGCCATTGTTTGGTCCATTGTTCATGCGATTCTGGATTGTTACAAAAAATAAAAATGGTATCCACTTGAGACATATCATGCACATGAGGCACAATATGTTTCCCAAGTGAACCAGAAACAATCATACATATCTTGTTGTTAGTAATGGTTTGAATAAATTCAGCACATTGATTACTATCAGTAAACGTGTTTATGTTGTTAACTACACGTTTTAATTGCTTGATTGTATTGGTACAATCAGTATTATTTTCATTGATATTGTTGTCCAACCAAATAAGGAGAACATTTTGCATTCTTTGCATGTCCATACGTCGATCTGCAGTTGCACTCGTGGAGAGATCAGGTACTGAGTTAACATATTTTGCATTACTGAATGAGGTATTAGTTGTTGAGTTCTTATTTCCCATTACTTTTAATGCTAATGTTTTGTATCTGACTTGCTTGGTTAAAATTTGTGAATGAAAGAATTATAAATGTGACCCATTTTATAAGGTTACTATTTCTTATCTAGATTTTTTTTGTATTTTTTCAATTGCACGACATTGCCTTTTTCGTTAACAGTTGTAGATGTTGTTATGAAAAACAAACGAACATCAACACAAACATTTCGTAGTAATAAGCAGAGAACGAAAAAGAAATGGTTAAATATTTCTGCGATTGTCAGTCGCTAGATTAATCTGCGAACTGAAATTTTACTATGTATTTTGTTGAAGCAAAAAAAGAATCAATTAGAAATTTTTTTCTTTTTGCTCTCATGTCCGATGTTGTCAAAGACATTATAATTTATAAAAATTGACAAAATACTGCAATTCAGGCACAAAACACTTAGATTTCTTTATTTCAAAAGTCCAATATATAAAACATGGAGAAAACTTTTCAATTTTTTTTCTACTTAACAATAAGATATGAAATGGTACGTAATACTGTACAGAAACGTTAAAAAAGATCATTGCAAAAAAAGTAGATTTATTTTATGCTATTTATACAATATTATTTATTATTGATGACCATGCAGAATAAGTTATTCTACGGAACGCATCGTACTTTGTCTTTTTATCAAGATTTAAATGTAAAAAAATATTGAGAATATACACATATTAGAAGTTTTCAAGCAGGATAATATTTTTCTTCTTCTCTGTTTCTATATAGGAAATGAACTTTTAATCAGTAGCTTTATTGTTATTTTATAAGGAAGGATGTGTATTAAATAATAAGCCACTAACAATTTAACTCAAAGTTGTTCGATTGTTTTATTTCTGATACATTTTTGTCATAACAACAACAACATTAAGTATTGCTATTATTCAATAAACCTAATATGAATTGAACGTATTAGAAATATATATTTGATCAATTACTCAAAAAATATTATAACAAATACAAAAAATAAATTCAAAGATATTATTCGAGAATTATATTTGTATTTCTATCTGATGTATTAATTTTATGATTTAGAACAATATTTAAAATAATAACTAGAACAGTAATCATAAAAAATAGTATTCCAATAGCAATATATTTTAATTTATTGATTGCTTGTTTTCGTTGAGCATCTTTTCTATAATCCATAATACCAATACCAAATACTTGATTTTTCTGTAATAATAAATTACTTCGTTCTAATAAAATATTTAATTGTTCATTTCTTTCAATATTCGAATTAATTGCTGTTTGAAGTTCCTGTTCAGTTTGATTTGCTAAATCATGTAATTTATTTAATTCAACTTGACTTAGATCATTTTTTGTTGATAATACTGATGAATTTATATTTAATGTTATGGGTGTATTATTCATAATTAATAGATTTATTAAAGCAATTAGACTAAAAAGATCCGATAATTTTTGTTCAATAAGAAAAAATGATCGTATTATAATGGTATGAAAAAAACAATCCATTCGTATTCAAAAAAAAAAAGGAATGATAAAACAAAACAAGCGCACTTTTTCAATTAAATTCCTATAAGAGATTAAAATACGAAATAATAATTGAGATGTAACAAAAAAATGATGTAAATATTAGATTCAATGTACATAAGCATTAAATCAACCGTAACAGATCTTTATCGTATAGTTGCAATTAATCCGTTTTTTTTACTATAAATATGTGTTCGTTACGATCGTCTTAATAATCATGTCATTATAAACAACAGCAATGACGGAAATTAGTTTTCTTACATGAATGATCTCTATGGAAATTCTTTTCAAATATTAGCTCTAAATGTCAAAAAAACGATGTTTATATATAAAATGCCTATGCTATTAATTGTGTACTGTCAACTTACTGTTTATGATAGTGATCGATGTGCGTATTTATTTATTTTCTTTTCATTTGTATTATTCTAGTATTTGAAAACACGCCTTGATTCGATATAATAGTGTTCATGTTCAATTTCTCTTGAGACTTTTTTCAATGAACAACATAAACTTAATTTGTTTTTATTCATATACTATCGAACGAACGTTAATAGAAAAAGAATAAGAAGTCGACAGAACACAAAGAAGAAAAAAAAGAAAGAAAAAAAAAACATACTCGACAGACAAGTTTAGCGTAGAGAGGTGCATGTGACATCGTAAACAGAAAATGAAAAGAAAAATTTTACATTTACTTCTGTTGTTAGTCATTTCTATTTTGGATTAATCGGGCTGTTTTTCTCCTTTATAAAGTACGTAGCATAATCAAAAGTGTGTTAACCTAAATAACCACGACAAAAACAAGAGCAATATATGAAGTGATATATACATGATTCGTAAAAACGTTAAAAGATACCTATACGATAGAAACAAACCAGTCGAAAAAGAACAACGATAATATTGACGAGAGTAGACATCGTTATTATTTTGACTATTAGTGAAGAAAAAAAAACAGAGCGTAGAACAATATAACAAGCGCACAATCATTATCGATATATCAATCAATACACATATTTTAACGATTAATTTTATTCTATGTCGGTTATTGTTGGTAAAACAGTTGATGTTCTCGATTGTTATGAAGGTCGTGATGCTGCTATTACATTTACACTTTATTTATGCTGTTTAATAAGTGGATATTATCCACGTAAATCAAGCATGCATAAATGTTTACAACGTATATTTAAACGTTTAGAAGATGCACGTGTTGTTTTACGTCTCTATGATGATATAGCAATTCTTCGAGATTTTTTTACATATGAATTAAGACCTGGAGTAAGAAATTTTATATAATATTAAATCATTTGTTTAAATATAATTTATAGGAGCGAAATAATATAGTCCGTTTTTTAAAATGTTTACATTATATTTCATGGCTTTGTTATTATCCATCTGAACATATCTTATGGCTTGGACAAATGAAAATGATTAAAATCGATGCTGATTTATGGGATTTCTATACAAATTTTTTCTGGGCATCAGCATTACTTACTTCTGCTCTATGGTAAAAAATAGAAGTTTTTTTCTTCGAATAATTTCATACTATAAAGTTTATAATCTCATAGGAATGCTTATGTTGTCTTACAATATATGACTCAAAAGACTTATAGTAAAGAAAAAGAAGAAGAAGAGTATGTTTTATGATTTAATAGATATTTATATAATATTTTTATGAATAAATAGGAAAAAATCATTTATACCATGGACTGCATCACGTAATGCTATGTTAGCAAGTATACGCGATGGTACAGAATTCATGGTTGCCGTTCATTATTTACCTCAAGGTTATTTATGGGCATCAACATTGACCTATATTCAAGTGGGCTTGTTTGGTACTTGCTCTGCTTCCTTACGTCTCTACGCACTTTTTAAATTTCAAGAAAATTAAGAAAAATTTTTTCTCAAATGTATTTTTCTAAACTATTAAAATAAGTATTTTTATGAGCATTTAACTACGACTAATCTTTTAAACTTCTGTTTATTTGTTTTTTTTTATAGAATATAGAATTCTATGTTTTATGTTAGAATAGTATTTTTTGAGTCAAAAAAGGAAGCTCTTAATTGTTCATTTCTTCATTCTTCATGACTAATATACTTTTTTTATACTTTTTTTTATAATCACTACGTGAGACGATAAAATGTAGTTTATTTTGTTTTTTTTAAAATAAAGATTGAAAGAAAATGATATAAAAAAGAAAAGAATTCAGATAATAAAACCGCATGTTGTCTGAAAATTTCATAATTACTTTTGGAAAAATCTACTGATAAAAAATTTATATCACCATGATTGATTGATTAGTTTGAAACAAAACATGACTGTTAACAATAATTTATAGACATTATTTAACTCATTTTTATAATACAGCAAAATTTTTAGGCGTAAAAAATTCGAGTATAATGTCTTTATATTCTTATTAAAGTACTTTATTTAGTATTTTTCGATGTATGTTCTGAAAGTTTTAGTTCAAAATAATTTAATAAAATATGAAACATGGTAAACTAGATTCCGGAGGATATACTCATGTATTTATTATTTCTAATTATGTCCATTTTGGTACTGGTTCTATAACAGAGGTGAACAAGTATTGACTTTTTCAAAGTACGAGTACGAATCCTTCGAAGCTCAAATACGAATTTCTAAAACAGTCGCTAAGAAAAATATGTCATATTTATGTCAAAAACAAAGTATTCAAAAATATCCTTGTGAAATCTTCATGAAATCGTGATGAATTATTGCGAAATTTCGAAAACTTCTAAGAAACCTTTTGAGAAATTGATGAAATTCCGCGAAATCTTGATGAAATTCTGATGAAGTCTTGTACAACCTTCAGAGACCCTGAGAAATCTTGGTTTAATCCTCATCAAATCCGATGGCGGATCCTATAGTTTCTCGTAGGATATACAGGTGGGATTGAATCGCCTGAGTAATGAGTGAGAAACTGTCAAGTACGAGTACTGAGTACTGACCTGTCGAGTGCAAGTATGAGTATGAGTACTGGCCTTTCGACTACGTACTGAACTGTTGAGTACGAGTTCGAGTTTGAGTACTCCGATTATTTTGTCTATCTCTGTTTTTTATCATATGATTGTATATTTACATTATGACATCGTGAATCAAATATCATTGTAGAAAAAGATAATCAAAATTGTATTGATGATAAAATGAATCTTCAAACTATGCTTAATGCTTGTAAATTTTCTATTGGTTAAAATGTTTTTAATAGAACAGATAAAAATACTGAAAGTCCTGAAAGTGTGAATAGAAACGATTTGATATCTAGAACGTGTATTATTTTAAAGTACATGAAGATGGAAATAATAACTAACGAATGTTAATAGATCTTTTATTATAATTTATAGACTATATGTGATCCTACATAAAATTTCCCTACAATTTGAAAAATGTAACAAATCATTTTAGTATACAATTTAATATCACATTTTTTAAATTTTTGTATAAACAATCTTTTCACCTTTTTGTTTTTCTTTATTAAATATTTGATCAAACTTTCTTTTATGTAAAAAAACTTTAACAGAAGAAAAAAATTAAAATATAGGATAAATTTTAGTAAGCAAAATTCGTTTGCTGTTACAAACATTTGCCCAGAGAGAGAATAAAACTGTTTTTCTCGTTATAGATCGATGACTCATTTTTAAAAAAGATTTGATACACTTTAAGTAAAGTTGGTAAACCAACAGAATAAATCTTATCTACTGTTGTCATATAACAAAAAATATTTTGATAAAGCAAAAATGTCAAAGTGCGCAATGAATTTGAAGAACCTCAATTTATTGTGAAACAATAAAATATCCGATATTGCCTCATGTATTTTATAAAGTGTTTCATTCTTAAAATATTTATCTTGACAGCTTAACTATTCGGCGAAATATACGTCGGTAAAATATATTATACTTGGAAAAAGTAATACGCCATTTATTGTTATCTCTGACGACATAGGTGAAGAATATATAAAAGCAGTTAAAAAAATAGAGCAACTTAGCATTTGAAGAATAATAATAATAACAGGTAACATAACACAATTTTAAACTAAATTTAATTTAATTTAATTGTGAAAAATAGATTTGATATGCGTAGAAATTCCACTACAGATTTATTCCCAAGAATAGATAGAAACGATGATCGTGATCGAAGACAACTAGATGTACAAAATCCAAATCTAACTATTCACCAATGGCTTGGTGGTCATCAACCAAATATTGATCCTACGACCAATTCATCTAGAAGAGAACGACGTTCCACTTCATTTGATAGTACTTCATCTAACCCAAGACAACGAACCGTACTGCCTTATCTTCAAAATCCAAGATGGAATGGTCCGTCAAGAAATAATGTTAGACGAATAGGAATAACTATAGAAAGCACATTATATCGTTCTGGAATATCTCGAGCAATATCTATGTCTACAATTGATCCTTCAAGTCCGCCGAATTCACGGCGCCCTTCGATATCAGTAAATCTTTACATTGATCAAGAAAATCTTCCCCCCATTGTCTCATCACCATTACCATCTCCAAATGTTTCTTCAAAAGATCATTACTGTTCACTGAAATTAAATTGTTTATTACCAGATACTGATAAAAAACAAATAAATCATATTCGTCAAATGATTCCTGATGGATTTGAAAAATTAGTTCCTGTATTCGTTAAATTACAAGTTCTTATTGTTCCAGAAAGTTTTCTTGAAATAAATAAACATCGATTGACAAATAAACAATTAATCGAACGATGTCGATTAATAATATCAATGAGAAAAGATGAACACTGTATTTTATATCAACAACACGTTCAACGTTTATATGGAAATGGTCAGTTAGATAATAATTCAACTCTCTCATATGAAGGACAATTAACATTACTTGAAACTTATAAAGATCAAATTGAATATGAATTAAATAAAAGAATTAAACATTGGAATTCAATACCAATGATATCTTCAACAGCAAAAACAAATACTCCTGACCATGTTTCTTTATCTGATAGACTATCATCTAATCAAAAATCATCGAAAAATAATCATTTAATTAGATTGAATAGCGATGATGATTTATTAAATATTTCAACATCGGATAATCTTGATTATCAATGGAAAAAAAAATCTGTTGTTTTTGTTATCGAAAAAGGAATGGATTTATTTCGTAAAGTTACATCATTATCTTTCTCGGTCTTAACAAATATTCATTCGAATGAACAACATACTACACCTGAATCTTATAAACAAAATCTTGTTAAAGAATTTAAGCAATGGTTATATCTATGGTCTACTCTGTATACAAATGATAATCATATCAATTAACTTTTCTTAATATGATGTTTTTTTGTAAGCTAGCTTTTGTATTTTAAATTTATTTATTGTATGTTATTTTGTTAATTCATACTATTCAAAATAGTATAATATAATATATGCAATCTACTATTGATACTATACTCTCTGAATGAGCGCTGTGCGTCCGAGGAAGAAACGTAGGTGGTGAGCAAATCCGTAACACAAAAAAGAAGATTTTATTAGACATGGACGATACCACATCGGAATCGGGAATCGGCAATTCTGATTCCGATCCCGATTACAATACGGTACTAAAAATAAAGAAGAGTCTTAACGATCCGGATCTAAGTCCATAAAAATCTGATTTGCCTATCCCTGGGTGTTATATGTATTCATGTTATTTTATGTATCAAAACAATGTTTACACTTTTCATTCTACAAGTAACAACACGATCTTGTGAAAAGAATGCACCAACTAGTTCAAAATTAATATAAAACAATATATTCGTAATATTGATTTCACTATTCGTTATTAATTATAAATCAATAAAGTAATCAAACAAAGACTCTTTCCTGTTTTTACTACGAGTAACTATATATATATCAATATTTATGTCTACTACTCAACTTGATTGTTTTTTCGTATAAAAGTATATCAATTTAATTTCATATATTTAGATCATTGTTGATTTTTTCCGTTTTCTAGTTATTAAATAATTCAAAAAATTTTCACCAATAATGTTTTCTCATGACTTCATCGATCAATCAATCGATCACGGCATGGCTATTACCATCGTTCAACATCATGTATAGCACTTTTCTCTCATTCTATCTCTTCTCGTCTTTTTCCTGCTACTGTCATTATTAAATCTCATGATAATAGAATCACTCAGTCAACGAATCTAACAGAAAAAAAAAGAATTTTCATCCTCACACATACAACAACATAAACATTATCTACTCTCATCTTTTTCTTCTTCTTCTTCTTTTTCTCTCTAGCTTATGACATATTCAGTAACATAGAGATATATATTTTGTCTTCTTCTAAGTCACCAAAGAAAAGATTTTTCTATCTAGGAGATGAAGAACGACGATGATTCTACTTGACATTTTCGATGAGTTAATCGAACGATTCATATGTATGCTTGTTGGTCTTTTTAGCACGCTTCACATCATTGCCTGTTTGCAATTGTAATCATTTGATATTTTAATCACGATATGATTACAAACATAATACATTTATTTTTAATTATTTTTTATCCTTTTGTTTCTGTACAAACTCAAAGTCCGATTCCAGTTGGTAAGCTTCAATAAAATTCCAATTATTTAAATATATATATGAATATTTTCCGAAAAAGGTTGGTTTCTTGATGATACAGCATCGAATGATGCTGATGCAGAAGCATTTTCAAAAGCTTTATCAGCAGCAATAAATTTAACTGATCAATTCAATTGGCCAAAAGAACAATTTAGTTTTCAATCAGTTTATGAAAATGTTACCGTATGTATTATTATTATATCTAATCTTCTGCTATTTAAATCCTCTTTTTATATCAAAGGATGCTAATGTTTATTCTGGTTTTCATCGACGTAAGTTGTTTGTTTGTTCAATAATTTCTATTTAATAATAATATATGATTTAGTTTGTAATCGATTAGAATCAGGTGCCGTTGGTTCTATATCAAGTATTGATCACCAAAAAACTCATTTACTTGAATCATTTATGGCACGTTTACATATACCAATGGTATCATTAAATTATTATAATTATAATAAACCAGAATTAAATGCATTAAATAAAATTTATCATTTGGCAATGAAAATTGATCTTTTACCCGTCTTAGCTGCATTTATAAGACGTTTTAAAGTGACAAAATTATTTTATATTATTGAAGGTGAAGAAGCATTTGCACGTTTTCAATCTTTGATGGTTGCGCAAGCACGAGATAAAAGTTATGATATATTAGATATACAAGTTAGACGTTTAACAGATATTAACAATCAAAATCATACAAGAAATTTATTACAAAGTGTTGAAATTAAAGATCGAGGTTCAAAAGAAGAACGTTATATTGTACTTGATTTAAATTATCTTAAAAGTTATATTAATATACTTATGCAAGTAAGAATCGATATATTATTACTTTGTTGTTGCTTGAAACACTTTAGATTTCTAAGGGATTATACTTCTCAAGTTTAAGCCGATGTAAGCAGCTTATTTTAGTAAAGCGATTTAGTGATCTGTCATACGTGTACTGATATTGTTTCAGAATAGGTTACAATAAGGAGCGTTTTCAACGGAATTCTTACCGTCATACTGACTTTTATTTTTTTTTTGAATAACCGATATATTCAATGGATCCCTCTTTTCTAATCAGTAAATCATCGTTTATGCCATCTATGAAATCTGATGAGGATTCCTTTTTCTTCGAAAGAATTTATTAATACTAATCTTTAGATTCGTCATCATGGAATGACAACTCCTCATTACCATTATATTATAATGAGTCTTGTAAGTAGAAATTTTGAAATTAAATTTCGATAAACTATCGTTTATTTTAGGAAGCTGATCGTATTGATATGCGTTTTTTTCGTTATGGTGGTGTTAATGTTACATATTTTTTACCTAAATCACAATATAGAATGGATTCTTCAATTGATCCTGCAACAACTGATCGATTTTCATTACCATCGGTATGATTGATCAAAATCGATCGTATATATTTTGTCATTTTTTAATTTGTAGTTCGAACAAAAAGCTCTAGCTGATTCTTTATCTATATATATGCGAGCTATAATGGCATTAGATGAGACAACACGTTCGAAAATTGTTCAATCAAATGATGGTGATGAAAATTTTGATCATCTGAAAATTGAATGTCGTGCTGCAGATAAACAACATCAACATATCGATTTCGGTGAAAAATTATTTAATATTATGAAATCTGTAAAAGAAAACGAATTTATTTCTTATGAAATTTATTTTCTCTATATTTCTTTAGCTTTCATTTGAAGGTTATACAGGCCATATAACATTTAATGAATATGGTGAACGTGTAAATTATACATTAAATGTCCATCAAGTAACAATGAATAGATTACCACGAAATGTAATTTTTAAAATTTGTGTTTAATCAAAAAAAAACTATTTATTTTAGTTGGGAAATTTTACACTTGATCAATTTTTAATGGATGATCTTAAAGTATTCGAAGGTCGACAAGCACATGATTTTGATAAAGGAAGAGAAAGAATAATTACAACAATTCTTGTATGATTATTTTGAATTAAAACAAAAAATTGAATTTATATTTATTTTAGGATGAACCATTTACAATGTTAAATGAAAGTGCTGTTGGAAATATTACAGCAGCAGAAGCAGCGGGTCAATTTTTTTCATTTGATCAATTATATGGTTATTGTGTTGATTTAGCTCGATTAATATGTGAAAAAAAACTTGAAATACGATGTAAATTTCGTCTTGTAAAAGATAATGCATTTGGAAATAAACCAACTAATGATCAACCATGGAATGGTATGATTGGTGAATTAGTTCGACATGAAGCTGATCTTGCTGTTGCACCATTAACAATAACAAGTCAACGTGAAAGTGTAGTAGATTTTAGTAAACCATGGATGAATCTTGGTATTAGTATTTTAATTAGTAAACCGGAAAAAACAACACCTGGTAAGAAAATTGGATTTTATTATTTCGATAATTTCGTTTTTTTCTCAACAAAGGTGTTTTTTCATTTATGGCTCCATTATCAAAAGAAATTTGGATGTGTGTCACATTTGCATATATAGGTGTTAGTGTTATATTATTTCTTGTTTCACGTTTCTCTCCATATGAATGGAGTATTGAAGATGAAGTTACACCACAATTATCAAATAAATTTTCAATTTTAAATACATTATTTTTTGCATTAGCAGCTTTTATGCAACAAGGTGTAGATTTTATACCAAGGTTAATTAATTTATATAAAAATATTTCTTTTTTTCGAATTTATTTTCTATTTAGGTCAATATCTGGCCGACTTGTTGCAAGTGTTTGGTGGTATTTTTCAATGATTCTTGTATCATCATATACTGCCAATTTAGGTTAGTCGAATAAGATTTGACAATACAGAAAATAAAAGATAATCTTATGTTTCTAGCTGCTTTTCTTACGGTTGAACGTATGGTTACACCAATTGAAAGTGTAGAAGATTTAGCAAGACAAACACAAATAAAATATGGTGTTGTACGCGGTGGATCAACCCAACATTTTTTTGATGTAATAATTATTTTTATAGTCGAAAAATCATTTGTTTTATACCGTCTTTTGTAGAAATCTGATGTTAAAGTTTTTCAACGTATGTGGGCATATATGCAACAGAGTGAAGATGTGGTAGTTGCGAGTAATGAAGAAGGAATTAATAAAGTTCGGTAAGATAAATTATTTTCTTCTATTAAAAATCAATAGATAATATTTATATCTATTAACAGAAAATCAAAAGGAAAATATGCATTTTTACTTGAAGTACGTATTAAGATGAATAAAAAACTCTAAGGTTTTAATTATTTTTTATAATTAAATAGTCAACTAAAAACGAATATACTAACGAACGATTTCCATGTGATACAATGAAGATTGGTTCAAATCTAGATTCAAAAGGATATGGTATCGCCACACCAGTTGGATCAGAATTACGGTAAAACAAAAAAGTTGTTTTTATAAATTTCAAGAATATTCTTTTTTCAGAGAAGCAATTAATATAGCCGTACTTGAAATGAGTGAAGATGGTACATTAAATACATTGAAAAGGCAATGGTGGTATAACAGGTCTGAATGTCGTAATGGCACTACGAAGGTTTGTTAAAAATTATCTTCCTTTTTAAAAAATATTCTCGTAAAATTTCAAATAGGAATCGAAACAAAGCAATGCACTTAATCTTGTTAACGTAGCTGGTATATTTTATATTTTAATTGGTGGTTTGGCATTGGCTATAACTATTGCAATATTAGAATTTTTTATTAAAGCAAATATTGAAGCTAAACAAACAAAGGTTAGCAAAATTCGAATGAATAGATTTTATTATTATATAAATTTTTTAGAATAATTTTTTTGATGTTATGAAAAGAAATATGAGATTGAGGTGAGTAATTATTTGAATAGAATTATTTAGTATATATATAATTAATTTATTAGTATTGCTGGTGTTGATTTGGAAGAGAAAACACCGGAAATATACATGTATAAATATCCTGTACAAGAAAATTATCATGTAAATAAAGGTTTTTAGAAAAATAAATAAGCCAAATTTTTTATTTAGAGTTCTGATCCATTATTTGATGAGCCTCGTCGTGTTGGTAGTACGAATCACATCAATGGAAATCAAAGTCAAGTCTAATATATATTTGCTTTCTTTTTTTTTCGTGTATGTAATTGTATGTGTAGAAATAAAAGTCAAATAATGTTTTTATGTCTAACTTGTTTACACAATCACATAAATCAAAAAATAATTATTACTATAATAAAAAATATTGACATAAATATATATTTCATTTTATTTTTAACGCCTTCGAAAGAAAATAATCAGACATATATTTCTTAATTAGCTCGCTATTGAATATTTCTTATGAATAGAATAATTTTCTTCGGTAAAAATATTATGAGTTATACAAGCCGAAAGAAAATGGCGTCTTTTTTCTAGAGTAAATTACAGAGTTTCGATACTTTTCCGTAATACATATTATGAAGACAATGACTTGATTATAGACAGTCAAGTGTATTATTAATTTTGTACTCTGAATTTTAATTGAATCGATCAGACTATTCTTAAGTCAAGATGGACATCAAAGAAAAAATAATGACATATGAAAACAAATTTTTTCTTGTCTAATTATTTATTTTCTGTTCTCAAAAAAACAAATTCTTCTTTATTTTCATAGAAACGTATCACTCTCGTTTAATTCCAAACATACACTCGTAGATATATAAACAAAAGAAGAAAAAAAATAAGAAATGAAGAGAATAATAAGATAGAAGATTTTTGTACACACACACACATTGCATATTCGGATGCTTATATTCTGTATTTTGGTATATA